CCCCAAAACCCCAAAACCCCAAAACCCCAAAACCCCAATAATTTTTGCTGAAATTGAACTCTTGATCATTTTAATCTTTAATATTTCTTCCTGAGAATGCTTGGAAGTTGGGATGAATCTACTCTCATTGGGTCATCTAAATCATCATCGTTATACCTTACCGTCACTGGAGCATTGGGATATTTTCTCTTCTCCACTGGGAGAAATCTTGGATAGATCTCTATCAGAATCCTTCTTCTGAGTCTTAATTTTTATTTTAGAAATCGATATAGGGTTCTAGATGTTAGCCCGTCCTTACTTTCAATAGTTTATTTAGGATTTTTCTTGAGGATTTTAGAAGCCTTTGACTCCAGGTTTTTAATATTAATCTTATCTTCTAATGTATGAGTGTATATGGAGCTTACTTTTGTTATATCTGTGCTTTGGCCCCTTCTTTTTAGTGGATTTGTCCAGATGAAGTCTGTTTATGTAGATAGAGTTATCCTCAATACATCCCATTGTACTGTTAAGAGGATTCTATTAGAGTAACCTACTAACTTACCTTCATCTCCTTACTCTGAAGTACTGCATAGTTAGGCGTGAGTGATTGTAGGATTGAGAAATTATGAACAGTTGAGTCTAGAATTAATAGAAATCTTACTATTGCTCCTTCTTTTGTTCCTCACCATGAATGATGAATCTGTAATTTTAATATACAAAAATACTAATGTCTGATTGGTTCAGAAGCCTGAGATTACTCTTAGACCTATAATCCTTTCTTGAGGTAAAATCAACTCCAAATGTTCCAAGTCCTTTGGAGGAGTGAACCTTATCAAGGCTTTTCTTGTGAGAATGTGAGTTTTGATTAAGCCTAGGGCTAATAATCTCAGTGCTATTTCTACAGATTATGAATTCTAAGCTACCTATGTATTTTATTTTGGTCTTCAAACAACTGGGTAGGATATTCTGACTTTAAGCCTGATTCGATAAAATCCTCATTTTCACAATATCTTTGGCTGTTTAAAGGCAGAATTGAGTGAGTTAGTTGGGCAGAAGCTAATGATTAAGTAAGAAATATACCCAATTTTATGGCATTTTCAACTGTCCCCATTGTGTCTGAATTGTTTTTCTTTATTCTTGATTCAAGGGTTGAAATGTGTTCATTGAGGGTATTGATTTTCTCTTGAAACTCTAAAGTTTAACAATTTATAATATACCATCTTGGAGGTCTTTCTTTTGCTTTTGAGTGATAAAATCAGCGATGCTCGCTTTTACCTCTTCAACTGTTATTTTAGAGCATTTCTCATTTAGAATTTCATCAAATCTATTGATAATGCTGGAGAGTTTATGCATCTCTTGGACGGCAGTATCTTGCCCTTCAGTGATCTCCTGAACTTTGGTCTCAATTTCCTGTGTGAAATCTTCCATCTGGCTGGCTGAGGTGTAATTATTTTATACTCATTTTGAAAGAGTCAAAAGCGTCCAAGTCACATTTCCTTTTCAACGCTACATCAATACATTCGACTTCTTTAGCCATCCCATTGATTTCCTTTAGATGCTTTGTGGTCGTGGCTTTGAGTTTATTTATATCATCTGCGATTGAAGGAATTTGGTTCTCTAACACTTCAAATTCATGTTTGACATTATTCTTCTGGCTAAAATTTTCATAAATTTCATCTCTAAGCATCTTGAAAAGACTTTTAACGTTATCCTCTGATAGGTAATGAGACTTAACGTCTTCACTAAAATCGCTAAGTTCCTTCTTTAAGCTATTAGTGAGATTAATCTTTGTGTAATTGATAAATCTGCTAGAGACAGCTTCTAGGTCTTCCTTTGTGGGATAGCCATTTTCTATAAATTCTCTTAAGTCTCTCAAATCTGCGTTTTCTGCCTTTGACTTAAGATCGCTTGTTAGAGATCCTACTTCGAATTGGCAGCTCATCAACTTTTTCTCTATGCCTGGAAGATTGTTAGAAATTGTGATTAGTTGTGCTCCGTGGCCATCTGTCAAGTTATTTTAAATGGTCTAGGTCTGACTTGTGCTCTTGTAACATCTCTGTGACTAAAAAGGTTAAGCTATTTCTGCTAATTATAGGTCAATACTTACTTTCTGATAATTTCTACACGGGAAAAAATCGATTTACCTTGCTACGTATTAGAGGATAAGCCTACTTTAGTTCATCTTCATGTGACATTTCTAAATAATTATTTTCTAATTCAGTATAACCAGATATATTAGGGGTTTTGGGGTTTTGGGGTTTTGGGG